TGTCGACTGCGCGAACGGCGATGGACCGGCAGGCTGCACCAGCACGTGCTAATAATTAATAATAATTGACCGGCGCACCGACTGCCGCTGTGATGGTACGTTTTTTACACAACTCCTCGCAGGCTTTTGTCGCTAACGGCACAGATTTTTTCGGCAGATTTCTCTAGCCAAACGAATTGAAATTGGCCGACAGGAGTGTCGGAAACACCCCATTAAATTCCAGCTTTCTAGCTTTTCTGGTTCCCGAGTTAGCAATTTATCCAACAAAGATTTTCATGGGCCAGTGCGTAGGAACCATGCATACCTGGGGGCTGGTTTTGAACCTATTAAGACTTACCTGGACGGGGGATATCTCCTTAAAATTCCTGCTTCCTAACTTTCCAGGTTCCTGAGTTAGAAACTTACTCACAAAAGACAATTACGGACCTGTATGTGTGAACTACGTGGGTAAGGGCGCCCATTTTGGAGATGAAGGCCCACAAGTGCATGTAAATTAAATTCCCAAATTTTCAGCCTTGTAGCTTTTGTGGATCTCGAGATGAAAACTCGTTACTTACGCACAAACAGACACACTTACACACACACACAGACAACCCCTCAACAACATGCGTTTTCGCAATGCACCGATGCATAGCATAAAAAGCTAGAAGGACTGGGAGACTCACGAAGCTATATAATACCAAAGTACAGGGATTTGGAGGCACGCTCGCCAAAACGATGAGGTGAGCCCCGTGCTTCGGGAACGACAGATAAAAGCACTACTGCTGGAAGCCCACGTGGTGCAGCAGCCGTAGAGACCATTTGCGCAGCAGTAACCGCTTCGGCAAAAGATTAGCAGTGGAAGAGTGAGGGTTTGTAGCACTGTTGGAAGTGGTCTGCACACAGCAAGACAGCCGCATCTAACAGCCCGGTACGCAAGTATTCTGGCCAACAATCGCAGCTAGAGGTGCGCAGCAACCGCTCGCTAAATGCCCAGTGGTCGCCACACATTTCATACAGGAGCATCGGCTGCTTCTCCATTATGCAAAAAATCAACGACAGTAAAGATGTGGTAACGTTGACTTTACTGGGATGCAGTGCATACCAGCCTATTACACGTTACGCTCTGCTGTCGCTAGTTCGCGCTTGCTTTCTTTACAACATAAGTTAAGAGTGATCGAATTCTTTGCGATATTTTTCACACATACAAAAAAATCCAGCATTTCTTTCATGAAAGTATATGCAAGACAGCGAAAAAAAAAACACCTCGATGCTCGTTCTCATCCGAGCTCTTCTTCTTAGTTTAAAAAAAATCCCGTAAT